TGACCATTACCAAAAAAAACATAAACCTGTATATTGTCTTTATTACCATTATTAAGTTAGTATAACAATGCAATACTGCACACACAAACTAATATGCAAGTATTCAGAACTTACGGTAACTGTTATTACTCACTGGCATCCCACACCTACTCTATGCATGCTAATCAATTTCTTATGGAATGACCATTAAATGGACAGTAGTTGAAACTTTGGAGAAGATTTTGTGCGCATTAAACATTTCCAGTCATCTTACTGGTTGCATTTATCAAAGGAGTCTAATACCCAAATGTTGTAAGTTTCAGCTACTGTGGCCTTGCATGGTGGATTCTATGGATTTATGTATAAACCTGTTTGTAGTAAATGTATGTATGTGTTTAAATTACCAGCAAATATTGAAAGCATGTTGTGTATGAACAATATTATCTATCTTCTCTTATGTTACCTGCTATGTTGTGCTATGTAGCTTGACTAAATAAGAGTCTCATACTAAACCTGTGAAAGTATACAAACACATTTTTTCAAATGAAGTCAATCAATTTTCACAACTTGAAATTACATTCCTAAAATTTGATCTAGACCAAGGACAAATATATCACAATGTAGCATGTATGATACTCTTATTGCTTGCTGTGCTATTTTGTTATGTTTTGTATCCACAGCCAAGAACTGTTATGTTGCCTGGCACCCCAAGAACACCATTACTCACCAATATCAACACTACCACTCGTTTGCCATCCACTCCCAGCACTCCAACTCTAAATAATAGCCAGCCAAAGTTTGTTATAGTTGGTACTGGAAGGAAGAATACATCTACCTCTAGTACTTTGCATGTGAGTAATAAAGCTAGATGGAGAGATAGGTATAGGACAGTGTAGTAGTGTACTATAAGTGCAAATAAAATAACATTCTGACTAGATTTATTGAAGTATTGGTCGGTGACATGGAGGCTTGGTCCCATTCATGTAGTGCAGTTTCGTTCATGTGAATGTTTGATAATGTATAGCACTTCAGAATTAATTATTCCCTCATTCATTCTCTGATATCTTGGATGACCTAATTATATTTGTCTTTTATGATGAAAAGGCCTAACACAAACATTTTGTGGTCATGAAAAATAATAAAAATATCTACGCAGGGCAGTATATCTTCCTTTTTCGTCCTCTGGGATTTGTTATGATTCCTTTAAGATTGACAGCGCATAGAACAGAATCATGTTATCACCTTGTACAGGACATGAAATCATGCTGTGCTTAGACATGATGCTGTCAGTAATGATGCAAACTCCACTAAATTAAGTCTTGCATCATTTTACAAATATTGGATAAATGGTTTGGGTGGGTCTGCTTAAATCTAGGTAGAGTTGTGTTACCATACCATAAAAGTTTGACATAATACCAGTACTAATTATAGTGGTTGAGATATCTAGTCTAGAGGTTTTAATAAAGATCACATCTCAGTGTCTCTTGTTTTTTTTCACACACCAACATTTGTTGAATGAGTAAAGCTATAATGTTACTGTACTGTATTAGTGTTCATGTTCAGTCTCATAAACCATGCATGCTTTTCAACGTCTTTTGTTTGAGCTCATAACAAATCAAGAAAGGCATAAATGGCACACTCACTCAAAAAAGCAAAACACATTTGTAATGTATTTATGGTACAGATATGAGGTGTGAATGTTGCAGTGCTTCACAATCTAATTGCATGTGACTATGGATCCTGGAACTACAATTCAACCCTAGTTCTAACTAGCTATCTATAACTGATTGTTCTGTGAAATAATAACTTTGGGCTTTCACATCTTCACAGACTGATTACTTGGCAATAAAAATAGGATTATCGATATTCATGAGACCAGGACGCCCTCTAGTGTTCAGTTAGTGAGTTGCGTTAATGGTTAATTGATAACAGGATAATTAACCCAAATGTGTGTAGTTTTGTGCTCTGTGACTTCATGTGAGCAGTTTTTAGCTCTGTGACTTCATGTGAGCAGTTTTGAGGTATGTGACTTCATATGGGCAGTTTTTAGCTCTGTGACTTAATGCGAGTAGTTTTGAAGTATGTGACTTCATATGCGTAGTTTTGTGCTATGTGACTTCATGTGCGTAGTTTTGTGCTATGGACTTCATGTGAGTAGTATTGTTCTATGTGACTTCATGTGAGTAGTTTTGAGGTATGTGACTTCATATGCGTAGTTTTGTGCTATGTGACTTCATGTGCGTAGTTTTGTGCTATGGACTTCATGTGAGTAGTATTGTTCTATGTGACTTCATGTGAGTAGTTTTGAGGTATGTGACTTCATATGCGTAGTTTTGTGCTATGTGACTTCATGTGAGTAGTTTTGTGCTATGTGACTTCATGTGCGTAGTTTTGTGCTATGTGACTTCATGTGCGTAGTTTTGTGCTATGTGACTTCATGTGCGTAGTTTTGTGCTCTGTGACTTCATGTGAGTAGTTTTGTGCTATGTGACTTCATGTGAGTAGTTTTAAGATGTGATCATGTGAGTAGTTTTGAGCTATGTGACTTCATGGGCTTAGTCTTTTCCACGAAACGAAACGAAACGAAACCCAAACCCT